TGCTGTTGGCATTACAACTGCCGGAATCGATTTTCAATTATTGTAACACACTTGCAGACCGGTTTCGAGATATTTGGCTACTAGTCAGTGCAGTAGTGTCCATCATCGACATGAGCCGATGATTCCACATATTCCATTCAAGATACATTTTGTTCAAAACATATATTACTTCAAAATAAACAAAAAATGTGTGTGTGTGAGTTATACAAGTATTTAAGTACATCTTTGAAAAATTTAGGTTTGAGGGGAAATATGGTGGTATACCATAAATCTTTTACATTCAGTACAAGTGAAAGAGAAAAAGAGAGAAGTTACTTCAACCATTACCTCTTCAAAAATATTTCAGATCATGATTTCGATTTCACTCTCTATCAATTGCCACTAGTAACAGTTTGATAATAGAACGATAATTTGGATATTTCACAATATTTTATTTTCTATTTCACCAATCAGGTGTATAATCTCCACAGCTTGGAAAGTTATCAGGAACTGGTACCATATCTTCTTTTTCTCCTACCTGTAGAAGCATCGACATACCCAATTCAGCATGGAATTCCAGGTGGCAATGAAGAATCCAGTAACCTATCAATTTTTTTATAAATTAATGCAATTCATTTTCATAGTAATTTATATTTTTGATAATGATTTTAATGAAATTTTCACCTGGATTTGAAGCTTGGAATCGAACAATAGTATATCCACCAGCCGGAACATTGACGGTATCTTTCAAGGGAGCATCGACTAAATTCCTTTTGAGAAGTCCCAACTTATCTCTGGATTCAATTTCCTCGGGAGTGACACTGTCTCCAATTTTTTCCATACCAACAACCCTAAAGTTGAAACCGTGGAGGTGCATTGGGTGATTACCAACTGACCCTGCCGCTTCGTCAATAAAAATCAACTCAACTGTAGCATTTAGAGGAATCTAAAAATGAATGTGAGGTTAAATACCATCGAGCAGGAGAAATAGTTTGTCCACAATTAGAAGCGTTCTTTCAATTAATCTAACCTAGATTATAAACTAACTCGACCAATGATAACTTTGTTAAAGGACAACTAGAACACTTCGTGCGTTTTTTTTGTGAAATCAAAGAATTCCAAACTGTATAATAATTTTTACTCACAATCAATAATAAATGTAATAGTAAGTTGTATAACATCGATAAGTTCTCTAGTCAATATTTAGTTATTATATAGTGTAAAACGTATTTAATATTACGGGGATTAATGGGCTAAAATGTTCGTAGGCTAATACACAGATGGCGCTACTATTATTAAATCAAACCCTAACCTTTAAAAGACACGTGTACAAATTTCACGGCTGTTGGACTATAAGTTTTTAGGAAAGGTAATTTTGAGTGGAGCAACTTTTGTCAATTTGAAGGAAATGGATAAAAAGAAATTTCATGTGTAAATAAAGTATTGCTTTTTAACGAAGCTGAAAAATAACAATTATATTAAGCAAAAAAAACTGAAATTACAAAGAAATAAAATACAAGCAACAACCAAAAAAAGAACTATTAACACGACGTGAAAATAAAAAAAAAGTGAAAAAAAATTATTAACAAGAAATGAAAATTAAAAATTAAAAGATTCCAAACCAAGTTACTTCACGACGTTTCGATTGTTAGAATCGACAATCGTCTTCGGGTAATAACTGGACTTATTCCCCGGAGATCTGACTATTTATAGGTCATTCGAGTGCTTTCACTTATCCCCTCTTCCCTCTCTCTGCTTCATCGGTTTTAGCGGACGCTGATCGTTTGGCGGGAGTTGGTCGTGTTCCGCTTGATTAGAGGTTTCCATATGTTGCGTATCTCTACGCTAGCTCGGCTGAATACGTGGTTGGACAACATATATGCGGCTTCTTTGAATGTTCTCCTAAACCATTGTTCCTCTTTGTGGATGATTTCAGCTTGAGCCCACTTGATGTTATCTTGATGAGTCCAAACATGCTCTGCTATTCTTGATTTGCTGGTTTCTCCTAGCTGTGTGTGTTTCTTGTGCTCGGCAATGCGAACTTTCAATGACCTCCTGGTTCCACCGATGTATGATTCTACGCACTCGCAGAATATCCGGTAAATGCAATTCTTGGAATCGCAGTCCGCGTTTGGTGGATCCAATTCTTCTCATCCTTTTCGACAATCCTCTGATGTAGGGAAAGTACAAGTACTGGTTGTGGCGGCTTCTCTTCCTTTGAAGGCTCTTGCTGTCTTCTAGCACGGCTTGACTTCATAAACATTATTCGCACTTTGCACCAGAAAAATCAACCGTTGAGAAGTGGTTCGCTAAGTTTGAACGAAGTGAAATAAGCACCGAAAACGATGCATGCAGTGCCGTAAAAAAATCCACAAAGTGAAGTTGGTCCAGATAGCTGAGGCTCTAAAGATATCAAAGGAATGTATTGGATATATCGTGCATGAATATTTGGGTACGTGGAATCTCTATTCAAAATGGGCGCTGCGCGAGCTTATAATCGACCAAAAACAACAACGAATTCTGAGCAGTGTTTGAAGTTTTACACCATTAAAACCCCGAATTAAAGCGTCTATATGTAACAATGGATGTCTCCATCATTTCACACCAGAATCAAAACGATCGTCACCTGAGTGGACTGCACGTGGTGAACCGATTTCAAAACGGGCAAAGACGCAACAGTCAGCTAGCAAGGTTATGATATCAGTATTTTGGAATGCGCATGGTCGCATGGTCGCATCAACAGCGACTATTACATAGCGTTATTGGAGCGCTGACAAACTGCCCCATTTGAATAAAAATAAACTGCTGTTTCATCCAGACAATGCACCATGTCGCAAATCAATGAAAACATGGCTAAATAAAATGAATTGGGCTTCGAATTGCTTCCGCATCCACCGTATTCTCCAGATCTGGCCCCAGCAATTTTTTTCTATTCTCATACGTCAAGAGAATGCTCACTGGAAAAAAATTAGTGCCGATGAAGAGGTAATCGTAGAAACTGAGGTCTATTTTGAGGATAAAGACAAATCGTACTATAAAAATGGTGTCCAAAAATTGTATCGCCCTCGAAGGCAAATATATTGAATAATAAAATGAAATATTATCAATAATTTTTTTTCTATGTTAGTCTACGAACTTTTCAGCACAACTGTTGATAGCTGTGAAGCTATATTTTTTACAATAATTTATTAGTTATTGATTCATTATCATTTTACTTGTGTTCGAGAACAAACAGTGAATATTTCATCATTCAACTTGATTGACAATGTTAGTGAATGTTCAGCTTTCTCTACACTTCTCACAAAGTTACCTCCACGAAGTTGAACGCAGTTCCAAGTACATGTTTACACACTCGTGCAAAATATGAGTCAAAATACCTTTTGACTCTATTCTCTCCGCCCAACTTTCATTAACTGCGCGAGTATTGTAAACAACCCTTTAGAGGTTCTAGCTTTCATTTCATAAAGAAAGAAAGAAATTTGTGTTTATGAAATCAATAAATATGGAAACGCTACTTTGTAAAAGAAACGAGTGAATTGATTTCCAATATAACAGTACAGTAACAATAATTTGTTTTTTTTCCAAATTGATTCGATTTTACTATCCATTTTCTCAATTTGCCTACATTTTTGTTTCTCATCAGTCAGTGGACTATGCTTGGCAGTAAACAAATCTAATCTAAAACAAATCTGATAGGCGTCAGTCCAGTCAACCTACTGTGTACGTATATCCCAGACTGGCTTGGACGTTTGGAGTTAATTTTTTTAGATTTGTTTACTGCCAGTCTTCAAGCATAGCCCACTGACTAATAAGAAAGTTTTTCTTCCTTATTCAAAGGAATCGGCCAAATTTCGGATATGCAGTTGGTTATTACCTCGTCCACTAGATGGAGTGACATTTTGCTGTTCGCTTCAACTTAGGAAGAGGAATGAAATACTCTGAAAGAATTCTGATTTTCAATTATGGAATATTATTGACTTTAGGTCGATGATGGCACCATCTTGTACTGACGAGTGGCTAATGAGCCCGAAACCGGTCTGCAAGTGTGCCCGTACCAAAATTGAAAGTCGACTCTTTCAGTTGTATTACCAATTGAATATGCAGGAAATTTTCTGTGAAGATATTCCTGCACTGAACCCTGTCGGATATAATCCAACGCCCTTCGCTGTATTAACCAGGGGAGTAATTGTTTTCTGATAGGCGTCAGTCCATTCAATCTACTGTGTAGATATATTCGAGGCTGGCTTGAACGTTTAAATTTCATTTCTTTAGATTTCTATATGTTATTTTCAATAACACATTAGAATGTTTCAGTCCCGTTATTTTCAAATTTTCATTGAATTTCTCATAGATTTCAGATATTTTCAACATCTTCTTGGACTATGGAATTCAGAACCTCTAACATGACTATTTCGTGTTGCTGTTTTGTCTTAGTACTAACTCTTCGTGTGTCAATATATACATTTTGTACCCCCTTCATCCGCACGTACGGTACTTCCCTATAAACTACAGATTTTTTGAAACAGCATCAATTCATTATATATCAATCCCATCTTTCCTAGTTTTCCATTTGGATTGAAGGAAGTTAAAAAGATTCACCAAAATTTAAGGGTCAGAAATGCAATCTCCTAATTATTGAAATAACTGAAGAAATTTCTGCATTCATCTGATTTCAGTGCTTATTGAAAAAAATCTACTAAATAAATTTTCACTCACTTTCACGGCATGGTAACATTTGCACTCCTCCACTGTGCAATTTTGATCAACCATATTTTCTTTATTGCAAAAAATGTCATCTGAGACTTGATTTCTACTGGGAAGGAGAGCAAAATTTGGCATCTTCAATGAAATATGATTGAGTTGTGGTGTTTTTCTCTTTCTTTCTACGTCAACTGAAAAAATATATTTCATTATCCATTTAAATGAAACCTGTAAAAGCTTCTTAAACTGGAATTATTAAAACCCCTTCTTAGAAATCTCATAAAAATTCAAAAAGCTATTGAAAAAAAGTTTTTGGGCTTTTACTTCTCCACCTTCACTGAAAAAAATGCGGAAAACTTCCGAATAAAGAAAGAAAGCAGTTGAGTACAAAATGAACTCTAAACAAAGACGTGTAGATCATTCACAGAAGTATGAAGTTGGAAGAGAAATCTCTCCCGAAACAACTACTTCCACAGTGAACAGTGAATTACACGAAACAAAAAATTGTTTCGAAACAACTATTTTCATATAAACATCGAATTAGGTATAAAAACGGGAAATTTTCAGGAGTACCAATCAATATAAAAAAGTATGTTCATGTATGTTCGCTTTTCACCTGCCAAGTTTGCGTGTTCATCTCCTAAAGACGACAACTTGATTGGCGCAGTAACTTATCGGTGTAAACTAAAACGTTTGCCTTCTCTACACCTGTATAAAGTTCTGCATTGCAATTTTTCTATTTTTCAGATTGTGGAAGGTGGAAAAACCCAAAAATAGTCGATAAAATACCTGATTTTCTGCACAAAAAGTAATTCGTTCAATATTGTTCGAATAGTGTTAACAATATTTGTTACGTATTTGTAACTTTCAATTTTTTGATATGAATTTGAGAGACAAACAGAAATGAAAAATGAACTTACGATTATTGAATCTAAGGTTTGGTTTACTCTGGAAATCTGAATTATTGATCGCCTCAAAGTCGAATGAAATAATATACTTGAAATCGGGTTTTTCTTTCAGTGATTCATCCCATTCTTGTATGGCCTGTAAATCTGGTATACTTAGGAAATTTTCACTACTTTCTCCAGTAATACTGTTGATTTGCTGAAAAATATAAAATATCATCATGAACTTCGGAAACAAATGAACTTATTCAGTTCTAAATATTTTTTACACATGAGGAATTCATGAACTGGTAACAATATTGCACTTCTTCAAGATTTAATCGAATGCTCCAAATTATATGTCACACCAAAACGTTACTGTTTGGTCAAAGTCATATGTGAACTGTTCAAGAAATAAGGTGAATATTCAAATTTCGCGGGCTACATACATTTGATTTGCGATTTTTTCACAGAAAATTTCCTACATTTTGTGCAGGAATCTTCACAGAAAATGTCCTGCATTCTGTAAAGATTCCTGCACTGACGCCTGTCGGATATAATCCAACCCCTTTCGTGGTATTAGCCAATGGAGTAGTTGTTTTTTGATAGGCGTCAGTCCATTCAACCTATTGTCTAGGTATAGCCGAGACTGGCTTGAACATTTAAAGTTCATTTCTTTAAATTTGTTTACTGCCAGTCTTCGAGCATAGCCCACTGACTAATAAAAAAGTTTTTCTTCCTTATTCAGAGGAATCGGGCAAATTACGGATATGCAGAGTATGTATGAAATAAATATTAAAAATAATTGAATATAGAAATGTATAAAAGTAAATGGTGAAACAAAGTATATATAAAATATTCGTGTACGTAGAATTTCAAAAGAGGAATGAAAAATTGGGTATATAACACAAAAAAATACAAATCATGCAATGTAGCAGTACTAACACAAATGTTACTTATAGTATTAGTGATTGTGGATACATGATACCAAGGCGTTCAGAGAGTCGAAATGAATATCGCAATGTTCACAGATTTTATTGAAGCTCCTGCACATAAAATTCAATGGTGGTCGTAGCATAACATTTGTGCGTGATGATTCGCAATAGAATTTTAGATTGTGTCGACCTTAAATTCTTGGTACTGAGAAATCGATCTCGGGTAAAAGAACCGTACTGTCAATATTGTTGTTTAGTAATTTATTCAGGAATTTTATACCAAGGATAACTCTCCTATTTTCCAAAGATGTCATATCAAATCGTGTCAACAAAATGTTATAATCGATGCTGAATTTTGTAGCGTTAACCTTGTTAATAAAACACTACTTCAACATTTAACTAATTACTTCGATAGCAGGTATTGGAATATGAAAGAGAACAAACAGATGTTTAACTATTGCCGTTTACGACAGAACTAAAACTTACTAATATATATTGAACCGATCAACGCTCTCTCGAGAGGGATGAACCGCGAGAGGTTCAAGTGTTCTGGAATGCAACCACTTGCCTTACAGGGTGGTACGAGACATAAGAAAAGAGTGAAGAAAATATGAATTAAATGAACTCTCACCGTACATACCGCCCCCTTTGAAAGAACCTACTTTCAATTGGAATGCAAAATAAAAACAATAAAAGTAACAAAAGATTCATAGTTAAAATGGAGAACGAATTCAAAATTCATGAAGAAATGGAATTCGTAGTCGGGATGTAAAATAATTGAGGGCTATTTGTTTATATGAAAGTAGTGGACACTGAAATTGATATTATGAGTATTATTTCAATTATGGGGACCTCAAAAGTGAAGTTTGAATGGAGGTTGATCATTTATATAAACATATTCGATATTTTGCAAGTACTAAACAAGGCGTCAGTTACTTACAAGTCCTTCTAGATGAGCATTCTCATAATCAACAACTTCCTTGGGATGATTTTCGAGAGTTGCATCTGCTCCTGTGTAGTGTAAGACGGCTAGTTGAAAGACTTTGTTATAGTCTGGGCCGCAGTCTTGCAATCCTTTGACACGAATCCAGTAAAGATCATCCATCTGATTAGCTTCAACAATTATATCGAATCGTTCCCCAGAGAAAATAATGAGTGACTTAGCTGAAAAAAAAATGGTTTGTAGATATGACGCTTCCAATGCACGATTTTTCATAACTCTCTCTTTCTCGATGGATTATTATACGGAAAAAATTATATGATTTAATTTCTGAGAGGTTAACAAGAATTGTGTCTTTCAATTTGAACCCATTATTGAATCTAGAGTGAATTGGCAAGGATCATTCCGAATTTCAAAATCGAAATTTTTCAAAATGATTCTATTGAAAACACTATTCCCTCACCAGAATGAAAATGCTGTCTCTCAACGCACGTCCTGCTAACCTAGTTAGCATCATCAGGAGATGACTAAAATACTTAGTCGTTTCCTGATGATGTTAACTTGGTTAGCGAAATGCGCGTCGAAAAAAATTTAGTTTAATTTTATGCCTGAGGCTACAAATTCTTATCATAAAGAAATAAAGAAGTTTTTACTTTGTTGAAATTTCAGGAAGTTATTTCATTCCCTTCAAAAATGTATAATTATTATTAATGGGTTTCAGCCTCATGTCGTCAGTTGTAGGTAGTGAACGTGGGAATCTTGGAAAAATGAAAACAATTATTTACCAAAGAAGGGGAGTCTTTGGCCAAAAGTTCTTGTACGGCTCTCATGAATCACAACTGACCAATTACCACACAAGAAAAAGAGACAAGAGATAGAAAATAATGTTCATTTTCTGAAAGGTGACCTCTAGCTGCAAAGGTGATAAATTCCTGAACGCCTTTCATAAAATTGGTTCTTTGTATCAGAAACGGTTGTTTATTTCGCCATGTCGTATAAATTAGTTAGTTTATGGAACAGAAAACGTACGATACGTACAAGAATAAATAACCTTGAACCCTAATTCTCTGGTAAGGAACTGTTCTTACATCTACCGTGCCACGAACCCACGAATTTATTCGGCACGATGAAATGAATGATCCGATATATTCATCAAACAACGGTATCATTGGATTAACGAAGCAAGGTTTAGTTCAAGTAAACGATATAGTGCACCCTACCTTCCAGCAGTTCGCCTTTAATAAAATAGTTAGGGAGGTAACTATCTGGCACTCCTCAAACTGCAGTTTGTATTTTGTCTTTGTTTGTATTTTGTCTTATATTTCTAATACCGCTCTGGGTGAAATTAAGCGGGATATGTCAGTATATAGAGTATATATTTTTCCCTTTCTCCAGAAAATCGTACTTCACTCTTCGAACAGTGGAATTATTTGAAAATGGACTAAATGTGAATGAACTGAATGATTATCATTCTCATATTGGGAAAACCCTTGTATTGCTATAAGTGATAATAAGATATCATATCTTTGCTTCTTTGTAGTCCCACAGGGCTCTGTTCTCGGACTATTTTTGTCTCACAAAAACTGCCAAGATAGTTACTGCAAATGGCGGTGACAGAATATCGGTTAAATGTCAATTCACTGAAATTGAATAAAGAAAACATCCAAACACTTTTTCACCGAATTACCAGAAGTAGGGCTGTCAAATTTAATTGAATTACCCTGGATGGCACATTTAATTGGGCAGCTAACATTAACAAATTAGGAACAAAACTTCCCTAATATATCTACTCAGACAAAAGAAAAATTATGCCAACTTCCATACCATTTCATTGGCATATTATGTATTTCTCCATTCCCTCCTCATCTTCGGAACTGAGAACACTGCCTTGATTATGTACAAATTCTCATTCTCCAAAAGCGTGTCATCAGAATAAATTTGAGCGCTAGTTTTAAAAATTCCTGTCACCCATTTTCAAAAAACTAGATATAATGATAGTAACATCTATGTGCATTTCACCTATCTACTTGAAATAAATAAGAATGAACTTTTAACCGAATCTCAGTTCCATGATCATAATACGAGCGACTGATCAAACTTTGTAAGGAAAAACATATTAACAACAAACTATTTCTGCAGTACTGATAACTATCCTGTCTCTCAAACCCATATGCTGTGTTCTTGGGTCATTTTATGAAATATATATTTCTATACGTGCGATTGTAGTTGTGATGCTATTGATTCATTCGTTTATTGCAAATTCTATGTATTTCTGATCTGCAATTTTACTTAATTTCGTAACATCCGGATAAAAAAATAAATGAAAATATATATGGTGATTATCCCCTAAAGAGTCAATAAATCAAATTGATCTGTTACTTATTCATTATTGATTTGTTTCATAAGCAAAAATTGACATTACTGACTATCATAGATATATTTTGTGAAAGTAAGAGACATCAAACTATACAGATTATATACTAATAAAAAATTGAGTTTCAAAATATCATACCTTCTACTGGCATAACATCATTTCCATCCGTACTGATCAGCGTAAAAGTGTGATTGTCGATAGATAATTCAAGAGGGCAGTTCATAACACCCGAATTCAAAACTCTGAATCTGTACCTATATCCCTGAAAAAAAACAAATCCGTCAGGTTAACTAATTACTTGTTTCAAATTACAAACACTTCCAAAAATCTCACTTTTCTGATATCTCTTTGTTATTTTACATCATGAGTGATTACAGTTTATTTGATGTAGATAGAGAGTGAAAAATTGTGATGCCGATTATTTTTTTCATTATTCATCTACCTCGTCTCGGACAAGACCCAAACAAATTCAAAAACAAATTAAGCATAGTAATTGAATTACTAGATGAGCATTCAAACTCTTGATTGTTTTGAATTGGGTAATAAATTATGGATATATTGACCAATTACTTCATGAGAATTAATATCACTATACATGATATCAATTATAGAATAGATGCGGTACCCGACTATTTTGTCGGCAAGGCATCTGAGCAAATGCAAGATGAGCTCATGCGATGTTGTATCAAATGCCTTGCGGTAATCGATCCAGGCCATAACTAAATACTGTATTGTATCGAGTCCTGCGTAACACATATATCTACGAGCAGGTTATCTTCATATCCAGCTGCTCCTCTCGTCAACCCTCTTAGCTCATACTGCTCATACCGTTCGAATACTCAGGTCTGTGTACATCTGTGTAAAATCTGTTTTTCCGTTAACCAGCTGTCGCACCCCTACGAACGACAACCCTCAGAAGTCGAAACTTGTGTGACCTAAGAATTAACGAGGTCTTACCTTTCAACGTGTGATTCCTAACACGGGTTGGACGATAGCAAGTGAAAATCGATCGTTCAGAATAGGGCTTGAACCACCGACCAACACTGCAGTCAATTCGATTGAGTGAACAAAGCACCCACGTCGAACCGCCTGGCTACCGACCTAAAAACAGCATAGCATGTTTGGACCCATCAACATAACATTGAGTGGTCCCAAGCCGAGATCAAATACAGAGAGGAACATTGGTTTAGGAGGAAATTCAAAGAAGCCGAATATATGTTGTCCAACAATGTAATCAGCCAAACTATCGTAGAGATACGCAATATATGGTAACCTGTAAACAATCGAAAAATGGCCAACTCCCGCGGAACAGTCATCTCCCACTAAACCGGTGAAGCGGAAAAAGGAAAGCGGATATAAGTGAATACTTGAATGACACATAAATTGTCATCTCTCGGAGGAATTAGTCCTGTCATCACCCGAAGACGATTGTGGATACTAACAATCGAAACGTCGTGAAGTAATTCGGCTTGGAATCTGTAAACTTTTTATTCTTCATTTTCAGTTTTTTGTTCAATTATTCTACTTTTACTTGTATTTTACTTCATAATTTTCCCATTTAATTTTTTATCTGCATAATATTATCGAATTATTGTTATTTTCAGCTATTCAGTTTTAATTCTTTTTTTATTAGCTCTTTCAGGGATTTCAAATCATTTTATATAATATCAGACAATGGAAGTTCGAACTAATGAAATTCATCATAAAACATTGTCAATCACCTTCAAATATTCAATATTCATTTTTTCTCCATACATCTTAAAAATGACTCAAATTAAAAATGAAATGAAATCATTATACACTCTTAGCTTTTACTCAGCAAAATTCAGAAAAATTGAGAAATTTATTTTAATCTTGTGTAATCTTGTAATGTTGGACTATTTAATGAGTGGCTTTCTGTATTTTTACATATTGTATTAGCTTATTATCACAAAGATTTCTCACCTGATCTACGAAAAATCTGGCGGTGGGCATGTGTATAATTTTGCCATCTTTTTCAAATTCCTTGTTTCTTCCTAAACCATTTATGATTATTGATTTGGGTTTGTTACCGCCATCACTGTTTACATGACCCAAGTATCTTTCCAAAGACAAACTGTCGTCCCAATCGCAGATGGATATTATATGGGAAGATAAGTCATAATCATAAAATCCAGCTAGTACATTATCCTCGTCAGGAATACGAATAACCATTGGCCCAAAGTCACCGTCAGCTCTTTGCATTCCTTAAAAAAATCGTCAGTCTGCATTATTTATATTTGTGTGAAATAGATAATGATAGGAAAGATCTTGCTATTAGCATTTCTTTGTGTTTCCTAATGCAATCGCTACTTTATCAAAAACATTTGATGAAAGAAAATGAATCGTTCGCGAAATATCTCATGTTTTTCTAAATGGCGTTTGTGATTTTTTCCGTATCACAATGTTTTTGAAAATAAACCGATTGATATGAAAATTTAATTCTATCATGAATTCAAAACTCTTCATTTCCTTTGGAAAAATTCAAAATTCAACCTTCTGGAAAGAATGAAAATCAATCCAATTAGTAGTATATAATCATTTTTACCTATTTTACTTGTTTGTACAAAAATTGGGGATTGATTTCGATCTTATTTGTCGCTTCTTCAGAGCTCAAAATTCCATTCATGTATTGCTCTTAACATAATACACATTTAAAGAAAAAATCTTCACATTATCATTGGCCTCTTTATTGCTGAGATGTTCGAATTTAACAAAAAAATCATTCTACACCTGATATCTCTGAAACAGCTTTGGCTTCTTTCCAATTTTGGTACATGCAAAGTATGCATGAAAATACATTTTTTCCATGATAATTTTTTTTTAATGTTCATCATTGGCGTCCTTGTTAACAATCAAAATCATGATACGCCACTGGCCTTTCACCAAATAAATATAGTTTGTGTAATTGCCAGGCCTGTGTCTCAAAAAAATAGTCTTCTGCCTTTTCTCCGTCTAGCAAACAGTTTTTGAGGTACAAAAAAAATCACTCATATGCTTGTTCCTATTAAATGTTTTCTCTTATTCCGAAAGAATCTAGGCAATATTTTTATAAGTTTTTATTTACATATTTAACACTATTTCTAAATTATTTGATTTTTGTAATGAGTACGCATAAAATACAATTTTAATTTTCAAAAGCAAAAAACTGTTATGAACAACAAATACTAAAATCAAATTGCCTATTCAAAATGGAATGGAAAATTTCTGGAGTAATCTTTATCGCTTCACAGGAAACTGTTACACAGTTTCGCAATTTTTTCTCAGTTTGAATTGGTTAATCAATGTCTTAAAATATCCCCAAAGAAATTAATCAAGACTGTTTGAGTCTGGGGATCTAGCTAGCTATAACTCTGTTCCCCCAGGATCTATCCAGCGATTATGAAAGTTTTGGTTTAAATATTCGAGTGGAGAAACAATTGACGGAAATTCACTCGTGAAGAAAGTAGAGCCTGAACCCGTTGGATGTTATAGAGATATAATAAATAACCATGTAGAATCCTCTATGTTAGAAAAAAGGCGATATTCAAATTATTGGAAACTTATCGCAGGAATTTACTACAACTGAATTAAAAACAACTTCCTCAATTACTGGAGTTATTGCAGTCATATGTGCTTCTATCAAGTGATGATTTGGCTCAAAACCTCCCGAAGCCTTTTTATTTTGGAAAGCGCTCTTGATATAGTCGTCTGACTTCATAGGCGTTCCTGTCAGCAATTCCATAAAAGTAATGCATTCGGTATTCGTAAAGTTTACCATGTTTTTTTCAATAAATGAGATATAAGAGTGTCAAAATTGTTCATGTTGACAACAACGAAATGAGCACACTATATGTGTTTAGCCAACAAAATAATCCTACTACAGTTCAACGGCTGATTTCGCATAGGAACAAGCAAATGAAGGCATTTCATTTTAAATATTTAGTATAGTTGTCTAATTGAATTATTTGATAACTGTATTTCACTTCTTGAGGTTCATTTTTAGACTATTCTTTAGTTTTATTTTATCTAGTGAGTTGATACTGTAACAGAATCACTTAGTTTTCGGTAAGTTATTGTCTTTAGCTGAGTATTATGAGTCAGTTAATGAAGTGACCCGTTGACATTCAATTTCATTTAACATTTGTCAAAGTAGGGGTTTTCATTAACTAAGTTTATGTTAAACCTTGTGATGGAACCTCAGAGATTTTGTGCGGCTCAATAAAATCAGATTGCCTGGTTTTAGGTAAATTTCGATGTAGCGAAGTTATATTAACTCAACTTGTACAAAATTTGTTTAAGATTTATTTAACTCAATAAATTCTACCTTTCAATTTACTGATCTTGTTTGCCTGAACACACATCGATACAATACACTAGTTGAGGTATTTATTACTTATCTTGCCGCTTAAAGTTAATAACAGAGGCATCCTGCATTCCAATGCATGATTCCATCTGATCTTCTGCGATGTAATGCAGGTATATTTCTTTATTTTCATCTTGTTTATGTGTGAATAAGGACCTATTACTGATATTATATTCTAGAAGTAGCTTTTACATGTGTTCGATTGTGCATTTCATTAGTTCGAACTTCCATTGTCTAATATGATATAAATTGATTTGAAATCCTTGAAAGAATCTATGAAAAATTAAAAAGATTAGCTGGAAAGTAACAATTATATGAAGCAAAGAGAAAACTGAAATTACAAATACGAGCAACAATCAAAAATTGGTCTATAAACACGAGCTGAAAATTAAGAATTAATAACAAATGAAAATTAAAAGATTCCAATCCAAGTTACTTCACGACGTTCCGATTGTTAGTATCCACAATCGTCTTCGGGTGATGACTAAACTTATTTCTCCGAGATCTGACTATTTATAGGTCATTCGAGTGCTTTCACCTATCCCCTCTTTCCTCTCTGCGCTTCATCGGTTTTAGCGGGAGCTGACCGTTTGGCGGGAGTTGGTTGTAATGCAAAGGAAGGTCTCGAAAAGGAACTAGGCATCATCAAAAATGACTTTCAACGGAATGGTTTATCCAAAGGGATGGTGGGAAAGACTTTGACTAGAAAACAGCAAGAGCCTCTCAAGAAAGAGAAGCCGCCACAACCAGTAGTTGTACTTTCTCTACCAGAGGATTGTCGGAAAGAATAAGCAGAATTGGGTTGAAGTATAACATTATATTCTGCTTCAGATCTGGGAACACTATCCGTAGCAGCATGTTTGTTATTTATCATGGAAGTCGTTAGATGACGGAACTGCAAAATATTTTCTAAATAACTAAAAAATTACAACTTTACCAATGTGGGAATGGTACCAATGAGTGCCGGCTTGAAGTGCATCGAAGCTATATCTGAAAGTGTCATAAGGCAGGGTTGGGCACTGAGCTACATACGGCACCCCATCCGCATATGGTGTTTCTTTCTGGTGTATTCCATGCCAATGCATTGTTGTTGACTCGCTTGTCATTTTGTTTACCACGTCTACTACAATACGATCTCCCAGACATACCTAGAATAAATTAGTTTGCAGGAATATTTCACATTTCGTAATATATTATTATAAGATTACGATTTCTCATTCCTTTTATGAATAGAAGAAAGTCTTGATGAGGTATGGAGTATATACAAATAAATAATAGAAATAAATAGAGAAAGAATAAGATAGAGGAATAAGTGTCTAGTAGTATCTCAAACCGATTAATACAATTTATTGTATGATTTTTACTATAAAGGGAGAAAGATATTGTATAGCGAAACACGTGTCGCGGTTTTTGTAAAACCTTTTATAGTGAAAACCATATAATAAACTGTATTAATTAGTTTTCAATATGGATTTTCATCAAGTATCGGCCAGTTCTATTCAATTATAGTAGTATACCATTCAACATGCGAGAAATGTGGCCGTTGCTCATGAAATTTGTCAATGCGAGTCGAAAGCGAGCGTCCTAACTTGTTCCAGCGAGTTGTGGCCTTGAGCAGAATAATATACTTTTTCTATGACTTATAATAGGAACACTTGAATTTCATAACACGAGGCAACCTGAAGAAGCAACTAAAAGAATTTATTATTTCTGTCATTTAAGTAATCCAAGAAGTAACTTAGAAAATTAGAATCTATATAAAATTCTAATTCCTCTCATTTCTTTATTAGATGATGAACTTCTGAAATACATTAATTTTTCTGCTAAATTACAAATTTCTGATGGGATACACTCGTTTTCACTTCAGGGTTGAATAATGGATATGTAATGTTGGAGAAGTTGTGATATTGGAAAAATTAACCATATAATTACTGACAAAAAAATTTCATTGCTGAATGTTGGAGAATCTGGGAAGTTATATACTGTTATTAGAATAATAGAAAATTTTTATATCTGGTTGAAAATAATGAAAATATAAGAAATTGGAAAGAGTTTGGGGACTTCAGATAGTTGAAAATCTGAAAAATTTTATAAAGAATGAAATTACTGATGTTTACAGAACTCACCTCTATAGCTGGTCCAGGAATTTGCCTATTGACACTGACTGCTCCTCTTTTACTTCCTTCTGCTGGTATGCAGCCGGGACGATAACAATCAGTAACGTTGAATGGGCAATCATAACATGCCCTGCCCATAGTGTAGTAATACTCAACTTCGAAAGTGTATCTACATGTCATTGGAGATGCTCCTTTCTTACAAATCCTCGCACATGGGTGAGATGGAGGTTCTGAATATGGTAACATTTTTCTAGGTCCTGAAAATAAGAGATGAATATATTGTATGCCACTCTGATGAATAAAATGTTGAATTGATTGATTAATTGATAATTTTGAATATAAAGAAGGGTGGGTTGAACCACCAAATTCGATGTCGATGATTTTTTCTATATATTACTACTTCAAATTTTCATTCACATTAGTTGTTCATACGTTCATCAAAATATTGATAACTTTCAAATTTATGAACAAAATTTTCAAATGCCTCATACACATGAAGAAAACAAGAAAATTGCGTCAAATGTTACAGGAAAATTCCTAACATTCCAACACCTCACGTCGTATCTATAAAATAATAACATTAACAATACTCCAAATCTTTCGGGACATTTTACCTTGAATACCTGATTGTACCTATTGCAGGTTCATGGTCACCAGGGGGCTGCCCTGAAGGTGGGGTACTATCTCCTCTTCTGTGGTTACTCCTGGTGGATAGTCTGCTTGATGCCCTCTACAGAAGAAAAGTCGATCTGCAAGCCGATATGCAAGCTGATGCAGATGACCTTATCCTGGCAAGGTCCACGTCGGGAAGGGTAGCTTGTCATATCCTCCAAAGCGCGTTGGACGTTGTTCACAGTTGGTGCCTGAGGGAGCAGATGTCTGTCAACCCCAGCAAAACTGTGTTAATCCCCTTCACCAAAAGGAGGAAATTGGATGATCTAACGCCACTTTCCCTCAATGGTGTGGTCATTATATTTGGAACGGAGGTGAAATATCTTGGCATTGTCATTGATGAAAGACTCACCTGGAACGCTCACTTGGAAAAAGTTTCACACCAAGCCAGACTGTCTCCATGGACATGTCGAAGTATTTGTGGAAAAACTTGGGGTTTAGGTCCCAAACAAATCCATTGTATTTATGTGATTATTGTCAGACCAATGATCACTTATGATGCAATTGCTTGGTGGCCGAAGGCTTTACAGAAAACGGCCCAAGCGAAGCTCTCTGGCTTACAGGGACAGGCTTGTCTGGCTATCACTGGTGCCATCAGTATCACTCCGTCAGCGACCATGGAGATCCTTCTAGATCTACCTCCTCTAGATGGACTGCATACAGACTTGTGCATATTGCCAATTGCACAAATAAATTCAATGCAGAGTGCAACAGTGAGTGGAAGTCACATCATTCTGGAAATAACCTCTGACTTTATGCCTTCAACTGTCAACCACGAACTGCCTTATGGAGTACTATTCCCGAGTAGAGAGGACTGGATCCTCCGGGAGGAGGAAATATTAAGAGCAGATAGTTGTTGGTTCACAGATGGATCAAAAACACCTTCCGGTTCTGGTGCAGTTGTTTTTAATCGCAGACCCAGGACAAAGTTATCTACCTGCCTAGGTGCGGAGAGATTGGATAAATCCAACCTCACTCACAAGTCAATAAAAATATTCTCCGGCAGTCAAGCGGCGTTGAAAGCTCTTGGCTCCTACCGAGCAACGTCTAAATTGGTAGCACTGCCAACTGCCAAAAACGACTCTTTTCGATAGGAAGACTTAACAGATTGTCTCTGGTCTGGATTCCTGGCCATACTGGCCTGGAAGGCAATAAAGCTGCTGACTCTCTTGCAGAAGAGGATGCTGCAACCGGCTTCATCGGACCAGAACCTGTCATTGGCATCGCTTTGGGCTTTGCCAAACAAACACTGAACACCTGGATGGCAAGAAGATTTAAGAACTTCTGGCAGAATCTTCCAGGATTGGCTGACTCCAAGGCGTTTATTCACCCTTCGAAGCTTGATACCCAACAGTTGTTGGACTGCAGTAGGGATGAACTACGATGTCTAACAGGCCTTCTTACAGGTCACTGTCATTTGAATCATCATATGCAGAGACTTGGACTGTCGGAAGACAGTGTGTGTCGCCTCTGTCTGGAAAATGATGAAACAGCAGAGCATATACTTTGTGCCTGCCCCGCTGGGGACCGAATAAGTTTCTTAGAGTTCAGCAGATCCGTAATCTCGCCAATCAAGTCCTCAGCAAGTGAGGACTTGATTGACGGTCTCCGATTACTTTCATCAGGTATAGGCAAGCAACAAAAAATTTTGACTTGAGAAACAGATATTCTGTGGTGCATTTCAGGAAAACGACCCCACATTACATGCAGGACACTAATCAGATCAGGTAACCTGCAGCCTTCCAGGTCTAGAATTAAATTCCAGTTAATTGGTCAATAATGAGGTTATTGGATGTTCGAAGTCCACCTATATCTGATTCAACAATGCATGTTTTTTTCGCTATCTGGTTTCGATCAATCATCGTTATAACGTAAGCGATCCCAGGCCTTTTTAGGAAGAGTTTGTTTTTTCTGCTGATGCAAGTTCTGTTTCTGCTGCTCCAGAATTCTTTTTAACGCAGATTCATAAGATATTCTACTGACAAGGGGGTGGGGGCAAATAATTGTAATGAATATGATTAGATAATAATTAAAAGGCCCCTTTGCTTACCACACCATGAACATTGCATAATGTGGATACAATAATAATAATGAACGATGTTATTGGTAGATCCAATGAATAACACAGGTCTGCGATGAAAAAATTGTAGCATATTCAACTAGTGATTTTGAAAGTATTTTGTGTGCAGATTACGGAAAAAATAGTAGAACATTTTTATCACCTTTAGATAAGTCACAAATTTCACCTGAAATTTTCTTATTGAATGGGTTTTTAAGTTCGATATGGGTTCGATATTTCTGTATTATATAGCATATATAAGCGGTAAATTGAGTCTGAATTGTGGAGCTTTTATGATGAACAAGTGATGACAGCTACGATCCAGGTACCAATGACCCTGAACTTTTCTCTCAATCAGACTTGAACGATTTAGTACGAGATCTGGGCATCCCAAAGGACTCAACAGAAGTTTTAAAGTCTAGACTTAAAGAAAGACATATGTTAACCACTGGTGTTTCATTTTCATGGTACCGATTTAGAGAAAAGGAATTTGTCCCTTTTTTACACAAGAGGGTGACCTAGTTTTCTGCAACAATGTACCCGGCATCATGGAAATGTTCAACATAACTCATGAACCTGAGAAATGGAGACTTTTCATCGATTCATCAAAAAGAAGTTTGAAAGCTTTATTTCTTCACCATGGGAACCAGTCCATTTGAAAGAATGCTACTAAAATCTTGAATTTGTTCTTAATAAGCTCAGCTACTCTGATCAAAAGTGGACCATTTGTGGAGACTTGAAAGTTATTTCAATGTTACTAGGACAACAAAGTGGCTACACTAAGTTTCCATGTTTCCTATATGAATGGGATAGCCGTGACAGGAAACAACACTATGTCAAGCAGGTGTGGCCAATAAGAAAGGGTCTTATTCCTGGAGTGGAAAATATTGAAAAACAAAATTTAGTGGATCCTAAAAAATCTTACTTCTACCACCCCATATCAAATTGGAGCTAATGAAACAGTTTGTGAAAGCATTAGACAAAGATGGAGATTGTTTCAAATATCTTTCTGGAAAGTTTTCTGGTCTATCCGATGCTAAACTAAAAGAAGAAGTCTTTGTTGAGCCTGACATAAGAAAACTTTTTAAAGATGGAAGCTCTGTCACCAAAATGGAAATGAAAGAAAACAATGACTGGAATTCATTTAAACTTGTTATAACAGGATTTCTTGGAAACAAAAAGACCCAAACTACAAAACTTTTGTTGCAGAATTTATACAAAAGTACAAAATGTTGGGTTGCAACATGAGTGTCAAAGTCCATTTCCTTCACTCACATCTGTACTACTTTCCCGAAAATCTAGGGGATGTAAGTGAGGAACAAGGAGAACGGTTCCATCAAGACATAAAAGAAATGGAACGCAGATACCAAGGTCGGTGGAATGTTAACATGATGGCAGACTACTGTTGGATGTTAAAAAGGGAAAATTCACAAGAACACACCCGAAAAAGTACCAAAAGAATCTTTGACGGAAAAAGAAAACGTTTTTACAAAGACTTATAATCAATTTGCAAACACTCATGTATCACTATTATGCTCAGTTTAGCTATGTAGCATTGTTTTTTGCTTTTACTTCATGTTAAAATAATAATCAGTTAACGAAATTAAAACATTTTTTTTTCAATTTTTTTCTGCAGACCTTTGTAATTATTACAAACACATACAAAAAGAAGACGATAGTCTACTAAGCCGTACGATTAACGTTTGTCAGCTCCATAGGAAAGAAAAAAATTATTTCTATGACTCATTCTTGTGAAAAATAGTGTATGAAAAGCTAGAATATAGTGCTTAACCATGAAATATTCATAACCGTGATATATCTACCCGCTACAGAATATGAAAAATCAAGTGGAGAGAAACAAAATACAATGAAACCATAAAAATGATAATAATAATGTAAGATCTGCTACGATTCATTCATTCAGATATTCAAATCATATTCGTAGGGTTCAATATATCTTTGGTAACTAGGACTATCTTAACTCTTGTTCAGGAATCTAGTTGTAAAGCCATGTGATAGTAGACAAGGGAAAAGATTTCAATTGATGATAGTTGATTATTTTCGCGATATTTACCTAACGAAGCTCTTTGAAAGGGTCAAAAAAAAAAGAATAGTGAAGCATCATTCGCTGCCGTGAGGGCGTGTCTGATATCTCTAATCAGAATGATCCGCTAGATCATCTGATATGACGCCTTTCGATGTTCTGAAAGGATACGTGGAATCATATAGATGCAGTCATTTCAGAACTCATGAATAAAATAAGATATGATTGCAACGAAATTGCCTCAAAAACAGTACATAATGTGAAATATGAACTTGTGAACAGACCTCATTATTGTCAGTAAGTGAATGGTGAATCTGAATGTCGTCTATATAAAAATGACACGCGGAATATAAGTAAAGAGCCTTCTGTGTGCTCCAGCATCTGATGATACAAATTTTTTCAAATGCTTAACAAACTTACAAAAAATATGAATTGAGCGTAACCCTTTTATACAAGTCGTTTCTTTTATCATTGCTATATGT